TGATAATAATTATTACAGGAGCAGCATGAATTTCCTATCAAATTAAATCACACAATGAATAATTTTCATGTTTTATTAAACAAAAGCCTCTCTCTGGAGAGGTTTGATGGTGCCGCAGTGTCTTGGGTTTGCTGCAGCAGGGTATCATGACAGAGCTGAACACAAGACTGCTCTGAAGGGATGGGGGCAAGTGCAATCCAGGTCTCAGCATGGCTTTAACCCAGTCAGAATTAGCACGGCTTTAATCCACTCATCCTCTGGCCAGCTATTCTTAGGAAATATATAAAGCTTGGAATACAAATACCCCTATGTGGCCTCCAAGCTCAGCCACCAACATGGGAGCGCCAGCTCCTCTCTGTGAAGGTCTCACAGCATGTGGCTGTGGGACAGGGGGATAAAGATCATGGATGGGTGGCTGGTAGTGACTTGCCCTGGTCCTGAGCTGTGCTAAATTGGTGCTTGAGCCCAGCCATTGACCTGGGCAAATAATTGTGCTATTTTCTAATTTGATGGTTGAAGAGGGAGTAAAGAGTGTGAAAAGCAGTTTATGCAACCTCAAACTGGGAATTTTCAGTGTGTTTGGGGACAGAAAATAAAAGCATTTCTTTTTGGAAGAATGGAATTTCATGTTTGGGATTTGGGGGGAAATTTAAAGAATAATCAAAAAAGTTTTCAATTTTCAGAAGACCGCTTTTGAGGCCAACAAATCTGTTGGATTCCACAGAAAAATGCACCAGTCCCAGAACAGTGTTTTTAATCACTAATTCAAAACACTCTCCCAGCTTTACTCAGGACCCTGGGCCTGGGTTAACGCTAGAGTTTATCCAACTGCAGCATCTCCCAGCTTCCTGCCATGGGTGCCAGAGACTGTCAGGACCTGGCTGCTTGGCCAAGGTGGCAACTGCTCCTGGGAATGGCAAGTCTGACCCCATCCCCATTCTAAATGGGTATTCTTGCTCACGGGGTATTTGATTTTTCTGTCCTTATGGTACAATACAGCAATGGTTATGGCTGCCCAGCAAAACCCAGTGAGAGGAATCACCTTGGAAGGTGGCATGTGTGAACAGATTAGATTTAACTTGCTGGACAGAGAAGCATCACACAGGCAGCAGATACATGTGGAAAGGATCAGCTCGCTTTGCATAATAGCATTTCCTTCCTCCGCTCGCCTCGCATGCTGCCTTGCAGCACGGCTGCACACTGAGATTTCATGTAATTTTGTTTTAGTGCAGAATTTAATGTTAAGTTTAAATATGTAATTATCTTTAATTGAAATTACATCCATGCTTTTCATTAACAAGATGCAAAGAGTGAGCAGTATAACGCAGAGAGATGTGAGATCCAGGCTGCACGGCGCACCCGGACCCGGCTGAGGAGAAGACATGGGTGAAGTCCCATTAACTCTCCTAAGAAGTTCCTCAGATGGGTCCTGGTGCAGGGGGCTGGTGGAGCCCCTCTCCCTGGCCACAGCCTTGGATATACCCCAGCACTAATCCCTGTGTGTACAGTGGCTTGTGCCCCCCTCCTGCTGCACCCACTGCAGCCACAGGGATCCCAGCTCGGTCTCTCCCTTTGCCCCACCAGAGGATGAAGCACAAGGACACACACTGCAGCTGCTCTGGGGGTTGGTGGGACACTGGTCCTTCCAGTGAACTCATTGGTCATGGCAAGGAAAAGCCCATGGGGACATTGCTTAGTGTTACTCTGCATGTGTACCCACACATCTCCAGTGCCTAAAGGGGCCAACAAGAAACCTGGAGAGGGGCTTTTGACAAGGGCCTGTAAGGATAGAACGAGGGGAAATGGCTTTAAACTGAAAGAGGGGAGATTGAGATGAGCTCTTAGGCAGAAGCTCTTCCCTGGGAGGGTGCTGAGGCACTGGCACAGGGTGCCCAGAGGACCTGTGGCTGCCCCATCCCTGGCAGTGTTCAAGGCCAGGTTGGACACAGGGGCTTGGAGCAAGCTGCTCCAGTGGAAGGTGTCCCTGCCCGTGGCAGGGGTTGGGACTGGATGAGCTTTAAGGTCTGTTCCAACTCAAACCATTCCATGGTTCTATGAAATGTCACAACTGAAAAGGAAATGCATTGCAGGATGTATTGCGTTTATTACACCTGCCCACCTGTAATCGCTATCCTCAAAATCCACCATAGAATCAGAGAATGGTTCGGGCTAGAAAGGACCTTAAAGCTCATCCAGTTCCAATCCATCTTCTCATGTGTAAGAGATTAAACCAAACCCAAACCCAAACTCTGGTTGCAGAAGCTGCTTTGCCACCCTCATCCACGCCATGTAAACCTCCTCGAGAAAAAATCCCTGCCGACTGAAGGGCTCCTCTGTGCCTATGGAGTTTGTTCACAAGTTCCTCGTGTTACCTGCAGAGCACGCACCCTTGAGCGGCAGGGCACAGCGAAGCCTGCTTCCCTTCGAGCTCTGCGACGAGCTCCGGGTCACCCCCCGGCTGCGAGGGAGCCTGCGGAGCGGCGCGGAGCAGCGCGGCGGCTGCGGTCACCAGGGGGTAGCATTGGTTCGGCGCTGCGCTCCTGCCGCGGCTGCGGCGGCTCCGGCGGCCCCTCTGGGAGCGGTGCGTTTGCGGAGCCGGTCCTTCCCAGACCTTGAGGTCAGCGATTCCAGCGGGCGCTGAACGAGCCCAGCCCGACGGCGCTGTTACAATCGTCTGGTGGCTCTTCTGCAAACCAGCGGGTCCTTTCAGAGCCTCGTACTTCCTTCAGAGCCGCGCTCCTGGAGGCTTTGCTCCCCCGGGGCATGCACCAGCGCACCTAAACCCGAGAGTGGTCCATGTTGTATTTATTCTGCACTTTTACAGGTCCAATGTGGTAATCCAGGTCCTCACCCTGGCGCTGGCTGAAGGGGGATGCAGGGGAACCAGTCTCTAGCCCAGTGCTGGCTGTTATCACTTGGGAGCCCTGGTTTCTGTGAAGAAAAGGCTTGTCAGAGTGTATCTCAGCAGCCAGTGCTTGCCACAGACCTTGGTTCAGGCTGGGAAAAGCATTCTACATTTTTGATGTAATGTTTCCTAATGTTTCACCCAACAACCCATAAATTTCCCAAGAACAAGCTATAAAGGGTTTGTTTGAGGAGAAAAGGACAGATTGCTACAGGCTGTAACTGCGGAGTGAAAGAGAGGCCTTTAAAGAAGCTCTTGACAAACAGCAAAAGAAGTGATGCACGCACACAGAACTGCTCATCCTCTCCCCACCCCTGCATCCAAACCTGTCCCCTCTCCCAGAGGCCATGGGGATTGACCCTGGGTCTGCGCCAGTCCCTCTGACAGCGACAGCGCTTGGACATATTCAAGGTACAAATCAGGGCATGAACACTTGAGAGTAGCTTCCTGAGCATAGAGCACAGCACCTTGCTGGGGCAGTGGAGCCAAGGACACTTCTTACTCCACCTAAGCAGCTACATTTAAATTCCCCTAAACAATTACTTTAAAAGCAAGGAGAAGGACCTTGCTGTGTGCGAATGATTGCATTGCTCGCTGACCGTGCTCCGTGAACTCAGGCCTTTGTTGCCACCAAAGCAGTTTCTATACCTTTTTGCACGCATAGTTCCTGTGGATTTATACTAAATGCTCTTCAGACTTGTTAGTAACAGTCAGCAAGACAATCAGCACATGCTAAAGTCCTGCTCTGACAGTGCAATCAATTAAATATCAATTAATCAGTTAATCAGTATAGAGGATACAGAGAACAATGCTGGTGATGGCTAGTTTCTAACACTGAGTATTTCATGCTAGTTCCACACATGTAGCTGACAGGTACATTATTTTGGGGGGATGGACTTTCAGGCAGTGGGATTTCCAGTCTGCAGGGCAAATGCTTCCCCAGACGTGCTCATTAGAACAGCTCAATAACTCCCTTCCTCCACATCCCCTGTGTTTGCATCTTCTGCCATGGTCATTTTCAGCCAATATCCTCGCAAGGGAAATTTAGTAATGCTCCTGAAAAGCACTTCTTAAACTCAAATGCTCAAATATCCCCAATAACTGCATAAAAGATCATCAGTATAAAGCTGATACTCAGATGTATAATTACTATGCTCTCTCCTTGTTGCTACCTATATGAGATAGGAGGAATGAGAAACAAACCATGCATCCCGCATAACTCAACACCAGTCAGGAATTCCCACTGCTGACCTCAGGCTTTCCTGCCCTGTAGAGCCAAGGCTTTATCAGAGCAGAACATCACAGAGAGAAAAAATATGTTCAAGAATTTAGGGATTTGCTTCTAAATAGGAAGAAACTAAATTAGCCGTGGAAGCTGTCAGAAATTCCTTTTCCAGCTGTGGAGATAGGAAAGATGCCAGGATCCTGGCGTACCAGAGGTCGGCAATCTCCAGGACTCTGGCTGATACGTGTTTCCCACATGCTCTGCAGAGCTGAAGGGATCCAGCAACCTCCATCACAGCCACCCCAGCATCCCGCTGCCCTTTTCCTCTTGGAGATGCACTCTGGCCCTGGGAGAAGCTACCCCAGGGGTCAGTGCTGCATCTCCCTCTGCCCTTGGGAGCCTGGTGCCAGTGGTTATGTGAAGCGGGTCCTTGGCACTGACATTTGCAGCACCGGTGCTTCGGCGCTGAGGAAGCTGCTTGAACAGTTCTATTTCTAGAGCGCTCCTTACTGCTCCTCCTTCCTTTCTCCTCTGGTCTGTTGCCCCATCTGCACCCTTTTGCCCTATGAATCCCCAATACTTCTCATGGTAAAGCCAGGATAGGTGGCCCCAGAGACCTTTTCACCTTGGGGACGTCCTGCCTATGCCTTAACCTGATTTGGATGTGTCTGTGATGTGAGTGATACACCTACCCAGAGCCCGAGACCTCCAGAAGCCACTGCTCGTTTCCATAGACCCCCATAAATGGATAACTGGCTCTTTTAATCTTGTTACTAAATTGTAATGGAATTATCCCTCTAATCCTTTGGAGCAAGAGCAGAACTCAGCCACCAATATAAAATTAAAAAAAACCCAACCCTGCAGTAAGCATAGATTTTAAAAGTATTTATTTTGTGCCGCTCTCAGATAGGCTGTGTATAAAATTTTATTTCAGAGGAATAATGCCACGTAGTGCACTTTGTGGCTGCTCTGTGATTAAGTCCTTTTTAATCTGCTGTGTAGGGTGAGGTGCAGCGCTTTCCCAGCACAGCTCCCTCCATGCCAGACTCTCTATTAATGGGGTTACCGGCTTATCGGAAAGAGGCGGAATTACCCAGCTACAGGAGGTTTTTACTCTGATCTGCTTAGAAACCCGGGCCATGTCAGGGCAGGGAGGGCTCAGGGGAGTTAAGCCTGTTTCTTCCTCGGGACCATGTGCCCCTCACTGCTCTATTTTTCTTGCAAGGAACTTTCTAGCTGGTAAATCTGTTTAGAGCAATTGGTTCCTGCTGCTGCTCTGTCTGTCTGCCTCACAATGGGCAGCAATGGGATGCTGCCAGGACGAGCAGCTCACCCTGCTGACTCTGGGATGGGAAGGCAAAGACAGAGCCAGCAGACAGGTCAGCAAGTGCCCAGTACCTGAGGCTGACAGGACACAGTTGTAGTGAGCACAGAAAAAGCATCTTTGATGGAATTAATCACTGGCAATAGGATGGGCAAATGCAGTTGGCTCTGGAGCCCCGGGTACCTGGTGCCATCAGGAAAAGGCAGCTGGTGCTGCCACGGTGCAGTGCACGAAGCCATCCTGCTTGTAACCCCGCTGCAGCATCCTCCTCCTAGCCAGCAGTTTGCAGTAACAGGTCCTGTTCCTTCCTTTTCAACCACAGCTCCCAACTCTTGACTCTCAGAGGTGGTGGTGTAGCAGGGATGGGGACTGGGGCAGCAGAGGCTGCGCCCAGGACAAGCAGAGCATGGCAAGATGGGCTTTTCTTCACGCAGGACAAGCCCAAAGCTGTGGGGGCACAAGGAAAATAATTTGGCTGATGCAAAAGCATCCTCTGGAAACAGATGGTGTTATGGACAGAAACAGGTCCCTGCCTGTGCAGGGGCTCGTAGCAGCGTTTGTATGATGTAAAGGAAGAAACGTCAGCACGAGGGACCTGAGGTCCTGGTTTGCTGCGCGCCTGGCGCGTGGGGTGAGGCAGGGAGCGGGTTAGGGATGCGCTAGCATCTTGTCACAAAGCATTTGCTGACCTTTCCGTAAATATTTCTCAGAAAAGGCTAAAAGCCCGGGTCAGTTCAGAGGGTGCTGTGCTGTGATCAGCACTTTGCCTGGGGCCGCGGCCACGGCTGCCTCTGACAAATAGCACTTGACCCGAGCCACTGCGGGCGCAGGCAGCCACACGGCGCGGGGCAAGCGCGGCTCCACAGCACATCGCCAGCTTCACCGTGCCTGCTGCTTAACGCCGTCCCTTCCTGCAGCAGGCAGATGATGGGTTAGGGAATAGAATGCAGTTTTCTCCTTAATAAAGTGAACGCTGCAGAACACAAGACATGTACAAAAGACTGCTTCTCACCTGATGACTTTGCCTGGAGTTTGTACCCCCAGATTAAAGTGGCTTCATCCATTCACTTCCAAATAGCAAATATGAAGTGGAAAGAGCTTCGCGTAAGGTTGTATCGTCTGACTTAAAGCAACATTACAGGAGGGCAAAAAGAGGAAGGGTTTCACAAGGATGTTTCTAAATGTGAAGCGTAGTCCTTTTGTTGTTTGATGGCAAAAACCACTGCATGGAAATTAAAGCAGTGAAGTCTCACAGACCAGACCCCTGCAAATACTGTACTGCTAAATACAAAAAACACCCCACAAACACCATTTGCTGAAGGAGGCACTGTGACTGGCAAGCTGCTTTATCAGTTCTACCAGTCCATGCCTGGTTTCTTACATTGATGTAATTCTGGATCACATTGGACCAGCTTGCACTGAGGAAAAGGAAACCGATGCGATGGAACCTGGTAGCAAATGTTCACAACAGCGCTTGAGCTGCACTAGACCAGTTGCGCCACGTCTGTGAGGGGGCAGTCCAGGGGCAAGGAGACGAGGGGAAGACTTGCTGCACATCCAGCCTTCAACATGCTTTCCTTTGCATGCCAAGTACCTGGCATGCCAGTGCTTTCCTGAGCTATCTTCTGTTCCCACTCTGACCCAAATGCTGCCTGCACTGTGCATGACTGCTCCCTGCTCGTGCCCACCTCCGGCACAATCACTGCCCGCTGACATCCTCCCCCTGCTTCCCAGAGACACAGAGAGGGAATCTGCTGAAGGTGATGTCAGACGTTCAACACCCCCGTGGCATCCAAACGCTTGGGAGGCTGGCATGAGCATCGAGGGCTCGGCATGCCCCCATGCACCGACACAGACAGCCCCGCGCGCGGCGCTTGTTCCATTACGCGTGTGCACAGGAATGTGTGTGCATGTGTGCGTGGGAATGCCTGAGGCCCCCAGCCTGCAAAGATTTATGTACATGCTTAACTCTTAGCAGATGAGAAATCCCACTGAGACTATGCATGTGCTACAGGTTAAAGACAGGCATAAAGCTTTGAAGAGTCTAAATCTTAGATTATAAAGATTATAAATTTTAGGAGGACGAGGACAGCCTGTGTCTGTGCAGCTTGCCCTGCAGTCAAGGGGTGAGCTTCTGCCTGCAGTTGCCCTACCTCACCTTAGTCCTGTTGGTTGGTATCAGCACAAAAGGAGTGGAATGGTGTGCAGCCCCTCTGAGTGCCGAGCATGGCTTGGGGAGGATCTGGCAGGCCAGTGGTCATGGTGTGGGCATCAGGGGAACACATTTCTCAATGCACTAGCTCCAACAGTTCAAAAGAAGAGAATGCGATGAGAAACAGATGATACATCCATTCTTCTTTCGGCACCAGAGCTCCTACACTCATCAACAGCACCATGGAGTGAGTCACAGGCTGCTGGCAATGCTTGCACAAGGAAACCAGCGGATCCAGGGGCTCCTCATGAGCATCAGCCCCTCTTCTGCCTTAGCAAGACCTTGAGGAGCTGATGCAGGAAGAGCCAAGTACAGAAAATGGGGATGTCTGAGCCTTGTCAGGGCATCCACACTGGTGATGGGCAGCAGAGCCTCTAGTGCAGGTCTAGGGGTCCGGGGGTCCTTGCTTACCCCATCACAGGGAACAATGCAGCACGCAGGTGGCACCAGCCATCCAGCTTTACTTGGTGTAATTGCAAAGGGACAGGGCAAGAGGAAGCTACTTCCTGCTACTCTGTATTTTTAATTCATATTTTCACAGCTCTGCCTGCCCTAAATCCCAAGCAGATGGTGCAGCTCAGCCCATCTCCTGCAGCAAGGATGATCCCCGGGGCCTCCCTGCAGAGAGTGTACATTTCAAAGGATAATTCCATGAGCACTTCTTACCCTGATCCGGAGCCTTCTGAGCATCCATATAGTTCATCACTCTTCACACAGGTCTGCCCCTGCCGCGTGCCAGCTCGCACTGGTGGTTCCTTTTCCCCATTGAAAGGTGAGCAGAGTCACAAGGACTCAGATGTGGCCTTGGAAGCAAAGGGAGCTGTGAAATGCAAAAGGCACAAGTGAGAAACGGGAAGGAAAACAAAGAGAAAATAAGGAAAATTTTGGTATTATTTCTTTGATTTACACTACAAAAATAGGAACCATCCCCACACCTTCCACATGTGGAGGCGACCCCAACTCGGCTGAAGCAGCAGCAAGGGAAACCCCTTTACAAAGCAGCCCCTTCCCTGCAGCACCTTTTTGTGCTCGGGAAGCATTTCTGCACTAACAAATCCCCTTTGATAATTGTGTTGCAAAAGCCTCACTCTGAATATTTAATAGAATTATTGCTAGTTATCAGCACAAGTAGGCGATAAATCACAGGCCGCCTTTACCCAACAGCAGGCAGAGCCATTAGGGGGTTTCGATCACAGTTCCCACCATGCCCCCTGTGTCAGAATGACCATGAATTAAAAGGGAAAACAAACAAACAACATCCCCCCCCAAAGGAAGGGTTCAATTCCTTCGACAGACACAGCAGCTCTTTCAAGCTGTGGCCTGAGCCCCACTGTCCCTATTGCCACAAGCCCAACTTTCGGGTGCCACCTCTGCAGCAGAACCCTCTGGCTCTGCCCCCCCCTTTGCCGTGTAGGAACGAGGTGATCTTTTAGCTGCCCTTTGTCTTGGAAAAAGAATTAATTCTCATTTGCATTACCTCAACTAAATGTCACCCACCGATATTTTGTTAGACATTAGCAGCGCTGGCAGAGAGGGGCACGGGATAATTGCGTTCTGCCTAGCGCTGGGATTTACATAATTTCAGACAGCAATTAAAGAATCCCTGGGAATTATTTTTTTCCCCCCCCTTCCTCCCTCTTCCAACCTCTCCTACAAAGAAAGTGTTCGTTTACATTAAGCACTCAGCTCCTCGCTGTTCATTTGCATAAAATTAAAGGTTTTTGTGCTCGGGAACAGCAGGGTAACATTTAAAATTCCCTTTCAAAAAGCTCACCTTAGAATAATAAAACGTTAATATCATTTCACGGGCTGGAGAAGGTTGCCAGCTGCCTTTCACTTCAAACTTTTACCCAATACTAACTGTTTGGGTGGGTAAAGCGAGGATGGTTTTGCTTGGTGGGGTTAAGATATAAACTTTGTTGAAGAAGTGCAGGGATGGAAATGTGCTCACCGATGGGTCTCTGCAGGGCTACTCCGGAGCAGAATGTTTGTTTACTCCATAGTTTTTTAATTAAAAAATCATGCAAAAGAGCAGCAGCGGAATATTACCGGCTTTAATGTGCCGACATACTCCAGGCTGCGAGAGGAAATGCAATTTGGATCACACCCCTTTCATTTGCTTTCATGGAGATGGAAGCAACGCTCCAGCACAAGTCTGCAACGTGAGATAACTTCCACTCTGAGACTGCATTTCCATGCCCAGAGCAGGGTATGGTGCAGGCAGGGAGGCAGGAGGAACAGGCAGCAAAGGTGGCATCACCCAAGGCTGAAGCTCTCCCAGCCATCAGCTGCCTTTATTCTGAGCTCTCTATCAGCACTGAATAATAAAAAATGACATTTCCATTTGAGGATGACACTGCTGAGGGTCCCTGAATGACCTTTCTTATATCACCAGGGTCCCTCGTGCTTGGGAAGAGTTGTCAGCAGCATTGTCCATCCCATGTGCTAAGGGCAGAGCCCCCAGGATGGGGAGGACAGGCTCTGCAGGTATCCGACACGGCTGCAGCCAGGTGAGGAACAACCCTCCTGGGATCCAAGCATCCTCCAGGTCACCAGGATAGGGTCCTGTGTGGCACTGGGGGGAGGCAAACTAACCCAGGGCAGAGATGCCCCCTGCTTGAAGGCAGGGCGTCCAAAGTACCCTCTTAGTCTCTGCCCGGACCCCTGGGTGCCAGCCTGAGTGCAGGACCACAGCAGACAGAGGGTGAGAGGCATGGGGCTGCCCTGTCCTCTGGCTTTTGTGGGGTCCTCACAGCACCCACCCTCTCCCTTCCTCAGCTTTATGTTGCTCACCAGTACTGACACTGCTCCTCTGCAGCCGCCACCAGCCCTCACCCCATCCCACAGCATCCCTCCCCACTGCCCCTATCACTATTGCACCTCACAGCCATGGTTAGGGGGCTCCCCTTACAGAGGGGTTCATGAAGCAGCCGAGGCAGGAGGAGCTCTTCCACCTGGCAGTCCTCTTATCTGCCACCATTTGGGGCTGCTGTAGGATTGTTGCAAAAAGTATGTCATTAAAAATGAATCTGGATCCCAGCCGTTGTGTTATCTGACTGGTTCACAGGCGGGAGAGCAGTGAGCACAGCCTACGGTCCCCAGTGCCCATGTCTGATCCCTGCTCTTGTCTCCAGGATACTGGAACCCCTACCTGCCAACAAGTGCCACGTTTCCCCAGTGATTCACCCAGGGAATCCGCACCTTTGCTGCTACATCAGGCACATGCACAGGACAGAGTCAGGCTTATAAGCATTCAGATCTCCAGCAGCCTGTTATGTCTTCCAAACTGTATCCCTGTAAAAATGAATATAAATTAGGCTCAGCAGGCTGTATAGCTCCCATGAGAAGCTCGCAACTAAAACATGTGCCAGTCTTGTGTCAGCCAGCGCCATCATCACCCGCATCACCTCTTTTGCCAGGGTGCATCCCTGTTCTCCATCATTTTCTACATCCTCCTCTGAGAAGTTTTCAAATCCAACACAAAAGCTGCCTATTGTGGGCCAGCAAAGCCACAAGCAGGCAGCAAAGCCCGAAATAAGGAATAAAATACTTTATGTGGGGGAAACGTGGAGTAACCCACCTCCTCCATGAATGCCTGGAGCAGGCAGCAGCAGAGCCGACAAGCACCAGGCAGATGCCCCCTAATAGGAGACCACTGCACCCCAGAGATGGGACCATGCACTCACTTCCCATTTAACGCCCCAACCCCTGTGACTGCAAGGACCAGATGCTTTGATTTATAAAGCAAAACCCATATTTTCTTTCCTTGTATTTTTGATACTCGGTGAATATTTGATCTTTCACATCTGCTCCATTGGGGCCAGCAGGACTGACATTTTCCTGCTCTGAATGACCCACTGTGGTTGCCATCCCACAGCACAGATGTGCCAGCACCCATCACACAACCCCTGCTCACGGGAGCCCAAAGCATCGCACACAAACGCAGTGCACGTGCAGAAGCAGACATGCCACCACATGCCAGGCTCACGGAGGCAGAGATCACAAGGGATGCTGAGGAGTGAGCTGTGTGTTCACAACCTGATGGAAACCCAGGGCTCCATCCTCACGGGAAGCACTAGCTCTTCAGAAGCCATTTGCCTTCCGGGTGAAAACGAAACAAACTTTGAAAAATGGAAATGAAGAGGATTTGCTTGGGAATTTCTCTCTGGGAAAGTCATTAATTCATTTCAAAATTTTTCATTTCAAAATTTGTTTTCATTATTTCCCATTATTTTATGACATCAGTAGTAGCGCATAATGTGACCTGTCATATCATGTCAAGTCATGTCATAATATGCATAATAGTAGTAGAAGTGCATAATATTACATGTCATATTGACATAATCAGAATATTCTATTATTATTGACTTTGTCAAACTAATTACAACACAGACAGGAAATACTTTGCTCTAGAAAATAAGATTAAAAAGGCACAAACTATAAAAAAAGTCAGTTCTTTCCCCTTGCAGCCACATTCTCAATGTATTTGTATAAAAACATTTAGACTAGTGTAGTACATCATGCTATGAATTGTTACATATAATTCCATGAAATAATGGAGTAAGAAAAATTGAGTCCAAGTAAAATTACCTGTTTGAAAGTATTTCAGTTTTTCGTAATAAACAATTCTCAACACAAAATTAGCAAATCCTCCTGTATATGAAATCTAAAAGTTCCCCCTATGAAACACCTACATGGAAACAGTCATAGAAACAAAACTTCATGTGCCCAAAGGCAATGAAGCTGGTGAAGGCTCTGAAGCACAAGTCCCGTGAGGAGCTGCTGAGGGAACTGGGGGTGTTCAATCTCTCCTCTTAGGGGAGACCTTCTCATACATTACATTACCTGGAAGGTGGGATTGGTCTCTTCTCCCAAATAACAAAAGAGGAAATGGCCTCATGTTGTGCCATGGGAGGTTTAGATTGGACATTAGGAATAATTTCTTCTGAGAAAGGCACTGGAACAGGATGCCCAGGGGAGTGATGGAATCACCATCCCTGGAGGCATTTAAAAGATGTGTAGATGTGACACTTAGGAACATGGTTTAGTGGTAGACTTGGCAGTACGGGGTTAATGGTTGGACTCAATCTTAAAGCTTTTTTCCAACCTGTTTCTGTACAGAACAATATTTCAGAGAAGATCCCCGACAGCTCTGCAGTGTTTGCAGAAGTGCTGTCCCACAGGGTTTGAGGTGCTGCATCACATCCGTGCTGCACCGGCATGCTCATACCCGTACCCTCCACACACATGGCCATACCCACCTCTTCAGAACCATCCCCCTCCATGCCTGGGCTCACATTGAGCCCACTGGGATTTCTAATTGACTTGACATGTTATAAATTGCCTAACTTGGCTGTGATTGCTGTGAAGAATGGTACTTTAAAGGACTCAATATCTGTATATCTGCCTTTGATAAACATTGGCTTGCTGAGCTTAGATCTTATTTATTTACCCTTGGAGCAGGTTCATTACTATGTATTAGGTAGATATGACATATTTATGGAAATATGGGGACTCTTTGTGGAATATATTAAGATTAAATAAATCGTTGACTAGGTGGTCAAGAACTACAGCAATCCTGATGAATGATTCCATGATTTTTTTTTGATCCTTGTATAATTTTAAAAGCCATCCCCCCTTTGTCTTCCTGGCCTGCAGAATTTCCCACACCATCATTAATGCACACAAATGCAAGGTGTGCACCTTTGCTTGGGAAGAAAACTCCAGGTCCTGTGTGGCCTACACCCTGTATGAAGGAAATGCACCTGGGTACCAAACCCCATTCCCTGGGAACCTGCTTAGCAAGGTGAGAAATGCTTC